AGTCAGTGTCTGTGTCGGCAGATCAATCTGGCCATCTGGCCAAAACAAGGAGTAGCATTTCCGACAATACAACATTTGAGTATACGAAAAAAACAGATTGGTACGACCCTGATAGCACGAGAGACCACGATCAACCCAAATTTTTCGCAATTACGCCAATGAATAGAAATGAAGGGCGGCGTCGAGGGAGGAGCCTTGCGGATGAAACGAACACACATACACAGTTATAAATTCTTACAAAGGAAAGAAGTAATCACAGTGAAGAATGTATGTAACGCTTCAGAGATAAAATCAAAATATTTGGAGAGAAAGGAACCACGCAAGCACTACGAGTGAAGGGAGCTCCGCATAAAAGGGAAATAAACGCGGCATTCAACATGTGGTGATGTCTAAGCTTATATTCGGGGAATCTCACGCCGTTGCTCTCGGTCTTAGCAATGATCAGTCACTGAGGAAATATTTTTTTTCCTAGTTTTGGCTTGATGCGGATGTGGCGTACTGGTAAGTGCCGCCTTGTCACACCCGCATGGTCCGGGGATCGATTGTTTGCACACCAGTTAAACCCGAATTGTAGAGGTTGCAGTGAACAGGAAAAGTAGTTCCACAGTGACTGCCTTCTTCGGCCCTTATCAGCCCATAGTTGTAACCATTTCCGATCCTCGGTCATCGGCGATCCTGCCATACTCCACAAAACATAATAAAATGTAAACCAGTCGGATCGCCCGGCTAACGCCGAAGTCGCCTACTTCTTGTAGCAAACTCACTATCCCGAGAAATGTTGAATGGAAGAAATTCTTTCCCCTTCTTTGAAGTTTATATCCGCTGTTTAACTGAGTGAGAGTACGAAACTGAAACAGAGCTCGAATAGATTACGTCGTCGTAGCAGATCACATAGGCATTTTTTCCGGTCCTGCCACCTATCATAATTGCTCCCATCCGTGTGGACCCCTACCAAGTTTGAACGCCATAGGAACAAATTGACAATTTCCGTACAAACACCGCCCATGGTGTACGGAGCTCGGTTCTGCCACACACCATAAGTGTTCCCATCCTGTTTCCTGTAATCCAAGCAAATTTGAACTTTCTGGGTCCACGGGGACAAGTAATATGAATTTCTTATCAAACCACGCCCATTGTGGGCGAAGCCCGGTTCTGCTACCCACCATAAGTGTTCCCACACTGTTTCCTGTACTCTTACCAAGTTTGAACTTACTAGGTCCACGGGACAGGAGGTATGATTTTCCACTCCACTTGAACATTTATTTGGCACAAACCCCGCCCTCTATGGACGAGGTCCAATCCTGCTACCCATCATAAGTGTTCCCATAGCAAATTTGAACCCTCTCGGTCCACGGGGACAGCATTATAAATTTCTTTTTAAACCCAGCCCATTGTGGGCGGTGCCCGGTTCTGCTAAGCGCCATTATTGTTACCATCATGTTTCCTGTAATCCTAGCAAATTTGAGCTTTCTAGGTCAACGTGTACAGGTGTTAAGAATTTCTGCTTGGTCCCCGCCCATTGTGGGCGGAGCCCCTTTTTGTGCCGGTCGCGCCCACCGGTGGCAGTCAGTCTCTCCTTCTTCTCCGACTTCTATCCATCTTTTCCCATCTTTTCATGGCTTCTCAGAGCTGAATTATGCCGACTTGTGGGAAACGATGTGAGCTTCGAGGCACACTCCGCCCATCGTGGGTGGGCCTCCGCTGACGTCATTTATACTGGAAACACCTTCGACAATGCTTCCCCTACATCAACTTTCCCTGCTCTGCTGGCGTTCTCCAAACCGAATTATAATTGTTTCCATAAAACATTGTTTTTTTTTGGAGAACGCCCCGCCCCTCGAGATGGGTCCTACTAGTTCGATCTAACTTACCAATTAACACTCTAGCCACCTTTACACCCCAGCTTTGAAGCCGTCTTGTGACTCAATTTGAAACATGGTTCTTAGTACAGCTCATTTCGATGCACGCCACGCCCACTATAGGAGGGGCTCCGCCAAGCTGATGTGTGCATTATACTTCCGGGGAAAGGCTTACCCATCCCACACCTGACTCGGTCTTTCCAGGCAGATTTAAAGAAGCTAAGTAATTTTGTGACAGATAACGACAGACGACAGGCGAAGCGTTTTATAGTAAGCTAGATAGGATAATCAGATTTCTAACTATATCTTCGTGCACCTTCTTACATACCACCGGCCGAACCAATCTCAAAAATAAAAATAGGAAAATAAAACACCTATATTTGTAGTTTCATTCAGATAATATAAAATTTGTATCAAAATAATTGCCGAATACGTGTAGTACTCGTGAAAAGAGGGCACGGAGAGAAGTCTCTTGAAGATACGCGAAATGATCACGATGTAGGCAGAGGCGTGGGTGCTCGAATAGAATTCTGCTGTGCCACTCCGGAAAATTGTACTCTGTGTAGCGTGGGTACTCGATCGAATTTCTGATATTTTAGTGAAGACAGACCCCGAAAGTCACTTGAAAAGCCAAAAATTGCATGATGGAATGTACAGCAAGTGAATACCCACTTCGGGAAAATGACGGAAAATCTCTGTTGTACAGGCGAAATGGTGGCGATTTGAACAGTGATGTTGATGCTGAAACAGTTCAATTTGGTACTTTGAGATCAGAAGAAACGTGACTTCGTTGTGGGTGATATCGAAACACCTTTGCAAAGCTGAAAACTGCAGCATAAAATTGCAAAATGAAGTTTACAACTGGTGGACCCACATAAGGGAGATTGACGGAAGGTCTCCGTTGGACAGGCGAAATGGCGGTGATGTGGACAGCGGTGTTGGTGCTAGAATAGCTCGATTTCGGTGTTTTGAAATCAGAAGGAACGTCACTTTGTTAGGTGTGATCTCGAAAGGCTTTCAAAAAGCTAAAAACTGCAGAATGAAACACAGCTGGAGGACACTCGTCTCAGAGGGGACAACTGGAAGACTCTGCTGTGTAGGCAAAATGACGGTGATGTTGAAAAAGATGTTAATGCTGGAATAGAGATCAATTTCGATATTTCGGGAAAGTCTAAACCTGAACGACTTTTGAAGTCTAAGAAATGCAAAATGGAATTTACGGCTAGTTTACACCCACTTTAGGAAAAATGACAAGAGGTGGTTTTCGTGCTGAAGAAATAACGATGAAATATGGACAGAGATGTGGTTTCTGAATTAGAATTTAGTTTTGGTGTTTTGAGAGAAGCCGACCGTAGAAAATTTTTGAAAAAAGATAAAAATTGCAGAAGAATTTTTTACATTTAGTAGACGCCACTTGAGAAGAATGGAAAGTCTATGGTTTCCAGGCGGAATATGGACGACATGAAGAGCGGTGTTGACGCTTAAGTGAGACAATTCTGACATTTTGGATAGTGTCTCTAAAAGACCCTTGAGATGGCTGAAGTGCAGAGTCAGTTTAACGTCTGGTGTACACCCACTTGAGAAAGATGGAAAGTCTCTGGTATACAGGCGGAATATGGACGACATAGAGAAATAAGTCGATGCTGGAGTAAAGATCAATTTTGATGCTCTAGAAAAGAATGATCCTGAAAACTTGAAAGTTGAACCTATGGGACACCCACTAAAGAGAAGGCAATGGCAAGTCTGTTTTGTACAGGCCAAATGGCGACGGTTTAAAGGGCGAAGTTGATGCTAAAGTAGGGCAATTGTGACATTTTAAAAAACGACTGGAACGTCACTGTGTACCGTCACCCTTAGATAGATAGTGACCCTACGAAACTTGAGAAAGCTAAAAAATGCAAAATATTACATACATTTTACATTTAGTGGTCACCCACTTCGGAGAAGGCATCGGAATGCCTACGGTGTGCAAACGTAATGACGGCGGAGATATGGAGCGAGATTTTGACGCTAAAGTAAAAGTCGATTTCGATTTTTCGGGAACGAATGACCCCAAAAGACTCTTGGGAAAGCTTAAAAACTCAAATTGGAGTTTGTGGACACCCACTTGAAAGGGTACAAGGGTACGAAAGGGCTGCGATATGGACAGAATGTTGATGCTAAAATAGGGCAAATTTTACTTTGTGGCAAATGACTGGAGTGTTGCTGTGTAGAGATTACACCGATGGACTCGTGAAAAGTTTTAAAGTACAGAGTAAAATCTATATCCAGTGAGCACTCACTTTGTAGAAGAATAGTGAGAAGTATATTGTGTGCAGGCGAAATGACGGCAAAGTGGACAGAATTGTTTTTACTGTGATACATTGTTGGTACTGAAATTTAGATTCTGGATAACTGTGAGATTGTTATCATATCATGGCATGTGAAGTGTTGGTTTTTCTTCTGACATGTTGAAGTGTGTGAAGTGGAGAAAGTCGTATTCTAGTAAACTCGCTCACTTTATAGAGGAGAATGGAGCACCTTAAGATTTTGACGAAGAAATGAGGTTGTGGTAGAATGGTTGTTTCTGCAATTTCAATAATACTTTCGTCAGGTGAAAGCACTAAGATTTCGCATGAACTAACCTAAGAATGCTCATAGTATAGCTTCAGGAAACACGATGTTCTTGATTACATTTTTAGATGAGTTGATTCTTATTCCACTGGGAGTCCTCGCACGCGATAGAGCAACGTATAACTGACCGTAAGAAAAAAACATCCTGTGGAACATGTACACCCATTTGTTGAAAGACTGCCCTTGTGTTGCATTAATTGTCATTGCAAAGGCTACTCACACAGGGAATTGTTCTCTGTGAAGGCGAAAAGGGACTCGTTTTCCCCAGTGGTTATCGATTCTTGGCAGCATGGCAAGCTGGCCTGTTCTGTCTCCACAGATGAATGTGCGACCAAGTGTGAAAGCCCTAGTGTTTCGATTCTCAGTCGTGTTCCATTACAAAGTCCATTGGTCACATCGAAGTTCCTCAGAAGCATACCAATTGGCCCTCTCTTGAGACGCGGCTCATGGCGTAGCATGCCAGTGAGTGTTAAGGAATTCAGGTCTTCCTGCTGGAGTTGATTATACTGCCCTTCCAAGTAAATAGCTTCATCGACACTTTTGTAAGTTTTTTTGCCCCAGTTTTTTCTCTACACGCAGACGGTCAAAGGCTGTGTCTTTTAAGCGCTGCACGTGATCATTCTTCGGTCGAAGGATGGCACACTCGCACAATTTGGACGTCCTATCCGAGTCGAGGGTGACTACGAATATCTCCGTAACAATATCTGAAGAGCACATCTTTTCTTCAGGCATCTGCACGCATTCGTCGGCATCGTTGCAGTCCCCGTTGCCTATTTCAAGGAGACGTTCATGCCAGTCGTTTCCAGCATCTCTTGCTCTCATGTTGACCCGCAGATGGTGAGTCAAGCGACGCAAGCTACTTGAAGTCTTCTTTCAACAGCAATGTTGTATATAGTGTTATACAAGTAAGTTTTCCCACTTCCTCCGGGTCCGTATTCCTTCCGTGCTCTCATGGTCCACCGTCACAGATGCTATGGGGCGTTTAGCCATGGGAGGAGTAACAGTCTCTCGCAAACCCCTGCCTAGAATTGCCATTCGATCCAGCACATCAAAGTACACATGTGCCATAGCAAGCTCACGTTCGATTCCCTGGTAGAAAGAGTCACGTGACAATGTTATAGCAAATTCGTTCCACAAATCCTGTACGTGGACTACTCACGCAAAACAAAGCAAGCAGGCGAAAAAACTCCGGCGGCATGCTGCTGACTGGTAGTGAGCTGCCTCCTGCAGGCTTTGCTGGAAGTATCTGCCATCATCGAGGAATCCTGCTCATCTGGCCCCTCAGCAAACGAATCATATGTAACGCCGTCCACTGTTCGTAGGTCTTCAAAAGATAATCTACCTCTCCTGTTCAGTAGCGAAATTCGGAGGCATTATCGTTCGATGTATCAAGGTGGAACGGTGCAAATCCCTCCAATACATTTTCCAGAGCGTTCCCTCGCTTTCCAACCACGACGTGGCCTAAATGTGAAATATTCAGGGAGCTGGCAGTAGTAAAATTTCCAAGGATCAGTCGCAGAGTCGTAGTGTACGTTAACACCCATCTGGGCATACTGCCTGTTTAGCTCGAAGTTTGCCGTAAGAGTTGTAAATGATGTATGTGCATGATCAAGGTTTTGTTGCTCCCGTCCTTGCACGAGTAAAACCGTCTGAAATCCAGGTAAGTGTACAGCTAGCCGTCGATCGAGTGCGACTTATCCTGCATCTCAAAGCTGAAGATGTTGTACATGCTTTCTGTGGCGCACAC